CATGACATCCTTCTCCAGGGAATGGTCCCTTCTGACAACATGACCAAAGTAGGTGAGACGAAGTCTGGCCATTCTTGCTTCCAAGGAGCCTTCTGGCTGCACTTTCTCCAGGACAGATTTGTTACTTCTTTTAGCAGTCCATGGTACTTTCAGCATTCTTCACCAGCACCACAACTCAAAAGCATCAATTTTTCGGTCTTCCTTATTCATTGTCCAGTTCTCACATGCACATGAGGCGATTGAAAATATGGCTGGTGTCAGGTGCACATTAGTCTTCAAGGAGACATCTTTGGTCCTTAGCACTTGAAAGAGGTCCTTTGCAGCCGACTTGCCCAGTGCTATACATCGTCAGATGTCCTGACTGCTGCTTCCATTGACGTCAGTTGTAGAACCAAGCAATGTCAAATCTTTGATAACTTCAATCTTTTCTCAATTTATCGTGATGCAGCTTATAGGTCCAGTTGTGAGGATTTTTTTATATATAGAGAGAGATGTAATCCACACTGCAGACTGTAGTCTTCAATCTTCATCAGTAAGTGCTTCAAGTCATCCTCACTTTCATCAGTGTATCACAGGTTGTTAATGATTCTTCCTCCAATTTTGATGACACATTCTTCTTCGTATAGTCCAGTTTCTCAGATTATCTGCTCAGCATATAGATAGAATAAGTATGGTGAAAGGATACAATCCTGACGCACTCCTTTCTTGATTTTAAACCACGCAGAGAACCCTTGTTCTGTTCGAATGACAGCCTCCTGGTCTATATACAGGTTCCTCATGAGTACAATTAAGTGTTCTGGAATTCCCATTCTTCTCAATATTTTCCACAGTTTGTTATGACCCACACTATCAAATGCTATTGCATAGTCAATAAAACACAAGTAAACATCTTTCTGGTATTCTTTGCTTTGAGCCAAGATCCATCCGACATCAGAATGATGTCCCTTGTTCCACATCCTTTTCTGAATCCAGCTTGCACCTCTGGAATTTCCCCATCAATATACTGCTACAACCATTTTTTAATTATCTTCAGTAAGATTTTACTTGCATGTGATATTAATGATATTGTTAGAGAATTTCCACATTCTGTATCATATAGCATAGAAAATTTAGTTTTGACCTGAGAAATATCAAAGACAGTTGTTAACACTTGGCTGCTTTAGCCTTTAAAATTCTTTAAAGTCGCGGGGTGTGCACATACACCCTGAGCAGGAACCATCTGATTTTAATTAGATCTTAAGTCAGCAGTGCTCAAAGTGGTGTCTCTAGACCTGCAGCATCAGCATCACCTGGGAACTTGTCAGACACACAAATTCTCAGGCCCCACCTTGACGTACTGAATCAGAAGCTCTGGGAGTAAAGCCCAGCAAACTCTATTTTAACAAGCCTTCCAGGTAATTCTGATGCACTTCAGTGTTTGAGAACCACTGATTTAACCTATCAAGAGAATTTTATGTGCCCACTGACATTCCAGCAGTGATATGATGACTAAGAGCCTGGCATTTCTGCATGTGTATGTTCCCTAAGTATTGCAGAAAGACATACATTCTTAGTGTTTTGTGATTAGATTAGCTGTGCTTAGAATTTGCTTGTTCCTCATGCAGTATTCTGAAGTTTGTTAGAGAGGAAAGAAGGATTGGTAATGTACAACACTGTAATGGATCTCCAACCTGGAAGAAAATAGATTTCTCTTAATGAAGAAAGAAAGAAAGTTGCCCAAATGGTTGCCGAGGTTAAATATTTTGGGGAGGATTATAGCCTAATATTCAGGATAAGTGCTAAATAATTCTCAGAATAAGAGATTGTGTTGAGAAGCTCTTGTTGGGTTTGGTGATTTTGAGACATACTGGAGTAATTGGAGGACCGTAGGATCTAGGGAATGTAGTGAGAACATTATAGAACAATGAAGCAGGGAAAAAAAAGTAACTCACTTAGTTAATAATAATAAATACAAATAAAAAAGCCAGAGTGACAGCCTACACAGAAAGGAAAGGAGGGAAGCCTGTGGATGGGGTAGGCAGAATTGGAATGGGCCAGGGGTGATGGAGAGTAAGCCTCGGAGGATATGAGTTGGGCCTACCTACAGTTGACTCAAGCCAGCCTAGGACTTGGTCATCACTCAGATTCCCAGAGAGGCCGGGCATGGAACACATCCAAGCCAGAGGGGAAAGGAAGGCTTGGAGCAGGTGCTAAGAGTTGAAATGGCCACTTTCAAAGAGTCCTTGCAACATACCAAGCCAACTTTAAGCCTAGTCTCTGTTCCAATGTATAAATCTTAACCATCTCTTCTCCTGTTGCCAGCAGACATCTTCATTGTTCCAACAGGTAATACCAGTCCTGCGCCTAAAAGAAAGAGAAGGCAGAATGGACAGAATTTGTAGTTTTGCCAGTTCTCTAACTTTATGTACGTGAAGGATGAAAACACGTTAGAGAACTACAGGACTCGGGAAGGATATGCTTTGTGCCCTCTGCATTTCTCCCCAGTGCCGTTCGTTGGTTAGCACCATCATGATCCTCTACCGGTTGGTGCAAAAACGAGTCTGTTTTCACTGAAAACAAGGATTCACAGTACCAGTCTGTGACACACCCAGAGAACAGAGATGACACAGAAGCCTTCTTCCCATTTTCCAGAAGAAATGTTTGTTCTATATTTTTTGTGCCTGGAATTATAGAATTTCCCTTCTTGTCTGGCTGAAACCTAACTTTCTTCTAGACAAGCTGTGCCAGATGTCTTCACAATGGGGGTGAGGTCTGACACGTCAGGAAGGTGACTGGTGTGACTCCTGTGATCTAAGGAGAAATCTGGGTGTTACCATTGCTGCAGACCTTTCCAACATAGAAGCATGATCCTACCTACATCCAGGGGTGGGCTGAGTCCAAACCAGAAATGCCTCAGCCTCCAGCTTCCTGACAATAGGAGCTAGGGCAAGAGCTCTTCTCTTAAAAGAGGCCTGCCTTATTTTCAGCAAGTCCCCCACCAACTCAGGGGTAGGTACTCACTGAGGATTATAAATTTGAAGAGGCTTTGATTCTGTAGGAAAGTGCAGTGAGGTTGGGAGAGAGAGAGATGCTGGTGATACCTAGAAGGAGAATTTCTGATGTGGTGAAAAAGTGAAATTGTTCACTACAGATTAGTAAGTGAGCACAAGTAAGCCCATGCTTATCTTATTGGGTAATCTAACATTGTACCAACTGACCTTTCAGGAAGAGAGTCCTTGGCAATAGTGTAAACACATGTTTTCAACATCCCCTTGGATACCACCTGCTAAACGAAAATGCCCTCCACCCTGTATAAGGTCTCAGGAGCAGATGGTTTGATGGTTCCACCAGGAGCACAGTCAGGGCCTGGAGACAATAAAAATGGACAGTGGGAATTTGTGGCAAACAAGCAAAGAATCCTCTCATTGGCCTTCACCGTGGGGCTGGTATAGCTTGGTAAGGCCCCCAGTTCATGGGTTTGTGGCCTCAGAGACCAGGGCTTCTTCCAAAGCACTCCAGTGGGCCACATCTGGGCTCCAGTGGCTGCATCCAGGGAGGTGCCCAGCACACCCTGAGTTTCCTCCCCTTTTCTTCCCTCTTCCTTCTAGATCACACGGCAGCAGTACCAGAACGCACTTACCGCCTGCCACATGGACAGCTCACCCCAGTCTCCCGACATGGAGGCCTTCACTGTCGGAGACGGTACCAAGGCCCTGACTGCCAGGGGCACACCCCAGACCCCCAAGGATGACCCTGCTGTCACCCTCCTGAATGACAGGCGCAACCTGCCGTGTAAGTCAGTTGGGTGATGGGCTGGCTGCCCCAGGGAGAGGGTAAGGACAGCCCTGCCTTCTTCCCTCAGCCCTGGGCTGGGCTGCCATCTTGTCCATTGCAGAGCCCCAGGTTTCCTCCAAAGCAGAAAGGTGATGTACTCGCTGTCCTCCCCAGGCAGCCGCTCAGATGGGCTGAGAAGCCCTGGCGAGGTAGTGTACCTGAGAATGGAGGAGATGGCCTTCACCCAGGAGGAAATGGCCGACTTCGAGGACCACAGCACACAGCATCTCTCGCCATCTCCTGCAACTGCTCCCACAAGAGCAGGTCAGGGAGGGCAAACCGTCCCAGGGGAACGAAAAGGATCACCACCTTTGGGTAATGGAGTGGCCCAGGGAGAGCTGGGAGTGGGGAGCCCTGGGACCCCGGTGCTGTGGAGAACTCCCCAGTTATTTCCACAGCCTGGGACAGTAGACTAACCTTTACTGAGCACCCAGTGTGCATCAGGGCCCAATTTTAATTCATTCTCCCAGGAAGACTCTGCAGGGCAATGTCGGGAGCTAGGTTTCTGCCTGGAGTCAGACCCTGGCTCTTTCACATATAAGCTATGCCATCTGAGGCAAGTCACTTAACCTGAGACTCAGTTCCCTTATCTGAATAGATGTTTCTTTATGTGGATACATATAATTCATGGTACCTTATCTCATGAGGCAGTTTTCTGTATAAATGAGATAACAGACATAAAGATCACATTTTTAAAGAGCTCTACTACCAGCAAAAACCCACTGCCATCGAGTCAATTCCGACTCTTAACTGCCTCCATTGGGTTTCCATGGTGGTAAATCTTTACAGAAGTAGATGGCCTCATCTTCCTTCCATGGAGTGGCTGGTGGGTTTGAACCACCAGTCTTCTGGTTAGCAGCCAGATGCATTAGGCAACGTACCACCAGAGCTCCTTACAATAAATGCTGGGTTGTTGTTTTTGCTGTTACGTGCCATCGAGTCGGACCCAACTCATAGCGACCCCTCCTTGGGTTTCCAAGGCAGTATCACTATGGAAGTAGATTGCCCCATCTTCCTTCCGAGGAGTGGCTGGTGGGTTTGAACCGCCAGCCTTCTGGTTAGCAGTCAAGTGCCTTAGCCACTTTGCTACCTATTTTACAGATAAGGAAACTGAGAGCAGTCACTTCTCTTACTAGCAGGGCTCTGTTCTTTCTTTGAGGCCCTGGGACCAAGGGTAGTCCAGAGGACTTGTTCTGAGGTCTCTGAGGCGCCGGACGCATCAGTCTGGACAGTGATGTTCCTCTGAGCTCCCAGTGTCCCGCCAGTCCTGAGATCTTTCAGCAGGCCCTAAAGGCCCTAGGCCAGCCATTAGCCTACCCTACCTTCCAGCCCTACCCCTGTCCATAGTGTAAGTCCAAAGCAGTGACCTGGCAGGTGCTCATGTATTTATAAGGATCACTGAAACAACATGTTTGAACACGTGACTAACCCAAAAAATTTGGGACACTTATCATCACTGTTCCAGCATCTGAACTTGGAAATGATGTTCTTTTTCACCCACATACAACAAATTTAGTAGCAAAAGCAGTAGCCAGAAAAATGTATCAAAGGAATAAGAATGGAAGAGATGAGGTAGTCTTTGGAGATTATCTATGACACATGAGGACCCTGAGGCCTGGGGAAGGGAAAGG